ATATATAAGAGCTTATCACGCCAGAATGCATCTGCTATTGTATAACCATTGTTAGATTTTAGCTATATGCTAACTAAAAATAACTGCAGTGGAAGGCAAGTTCTGCTCTGCAGATATTGCATTGCACAGGTTTCTCTTTCATTTTCTTAAAATGATCCCACACTTTTGAGCTCCGTTGCTGGATAGCCATGATACCAGAGCCTGTCTGTATGATGTCTTGTGACGTCCACAGCCTACCCCGGTTACCACTGCTGTGCATGTGTGTCAAGGACAGAAAGGCAGATGTGGCAGTGGAAGGTGTCGAAGCAGTTTGGAGAGATAAACAAAGTAAAGAACAACAACAAAAAAAAGAAAACGATTAATTGATTATTAAATTAGTCATCGATTATTTTAATAATCGATTAGTCGTCGATTAATCAATTAATCGTGGCAGCCCTAGTTGTTACACAGTTATTTCCTGAAGTGGTAAATGCTTAGAAAAGTTTGATAATCACAAAAACATATATGTTTATGTTTACATTTCTTTATCCCTCTGTTTACTGAGGCTATCAGCAGCTGAAAAGTTGCAAGGAAAAAAAATGAAAACAATGTGTGGATTAAATTCTTCTCTTTAATCCATCATATTACATGGAAATAAGAAAAAACAAGCTTAAGTTGTGTAACTCAAATGTTGGGAAAATAAGAAACATTGTGATGTCATAATTGACACATTACATCATTAAGCCCCGCCCCCGGAGGAGCTGTCCCATATTTTGGAAGGGTTGAGTTGGCAACGACTGAATGCATGTAAGCATTTAGAATTAAAATGAGCTTAGTGGAAACAAAAGAGAGATGGAGCTGAATTCAGCTGCATTGATCTGAAGCACTAATGTTTCCCTCATACCGTTTTCAAAACATGACAAAATAACAGTTTAGTGACACCATGTGCTTAAACAAATTATAAACTCTTCCTTCTTCCCTCTCAGTCCTCTTTGTGCTACCTGAAGAGGTTGGAGGAATCAGGCATGGCTTGTCAGCAAGTAACCGGAGCATCATTTCACCTCAGACATGTTGGTGTGCCTCTGTGTGTCATTACAGAGAATCATTTCAGAGGTGAGCTATCAGCTAAAAGCAAAGTGAGCTTGCTGTGGAGACTGTTTACTGGGCAGATGTTTCATGGACTGATTATGGATTTCCCCCTGCTTAGTGGACATTTGAGAATTGTATTTTTCGAACTGTATGTGTTAAAAGACAGGGCCAGCTGTGTTCTCCTCGGAGACGGGAACAGGTGTTGAGCTTCATGATTCACCACGGCACAGCAAATACCAGCGCTCTTCCACACGAGCCTTGCTCTGGCTTCCTCCGGCGCGCCTTAACAAAGCCGTGA